AAGCCCATCCATAGGTCGTTGCCGCCATCGCTTGTTGGATCTGCCATCGGGGCATGTCCTCCACCGTCGAGCCGGATCCGGCCTCCCTGCCACCGAAGTAGACACATAGGTGGAGGAGGAGCACCACCGCCCAGAGAGCTAACGCCGGAGGAGGAGCGCCGCAACGGGGAGGCCGAATCTGGCCTCCATGCCACTGGATCCGGCCTCGCTGCTACCGGATCTAGCCTCCCCGCGGCCGCTGGAGTTGACGCAGAGGTGGAGGAGGAGCGCTGCCGCCTAGGGAGCTAACACCAGAGGAGGAGCAGCACCGTGCCCGCGCCGCCAGATCCAGGGCTCCTCTTCGCCCGCGCCCGCCGGATCCATGATTCGGGATGGGCTTGAGAGAGAGAGAGTGAGGGAAGGGAGGGGACCGAGGCGGGCATCACATTCGTCTCGAACTAAAGGTCACGATTAATCATGATTTACCAAGGCGGGTCACCCGCCTCGGTAAATCAAATAAAAAGCAAAAAAACCCATGGACAAGCCCAGCGAGCCCACCCACGGGCCCACCAAGCCCATCCATAGGTCGTTGCCGCCATCGCTTGTTGGATCTGCCATCGGGGCATGTCCTCCACCGTCGAGCCGGATCCGGCCTCCCTGCCGCCGAAGTAGACACATAGGTGGAGGAGGAGCACCACCGCCCAGAGAGCTAACGCCGGAGGAGGAGCGCCGCAACGGGGAGGCCGAATCTGGCCTCCATGCCACTGGATCCGGCCTCGCTGCTACCGGATCTAGCCTCCCATGACATTTGGAGTTGACGTGAGAGGTGGAGGAGGAGCGCTGCCGCCTAGGGAGCTAACACCAGAGGAGGAGCAGCACCGTGCCCGCGCCGCCAGATCCAGGGCTCCTCTTCGCCCGCGCCCGCCGGATCCATGATTCGGGATGGGCTTGAGAGAGAGAGAGAGTGAGGGAAGGGAGGGGCCCCCCATGCTCAGGGAGGAAGGGGCGTTGTGCCAGAGGGGAGGGAGGTGCATCACTGCTGGCCGCCGTGCTTAGGGAGGGAGGGACGAAGGGAGGGAGGGGAGGGAGGAGCCGCTCAGGGAGGGAGGGAGGTGCCGCTCCGGGAACCCGAAAGAGAGAGATGTGAGGTAGAGAGAAACCCTAAGTATCCTATATATACTTGAGTGCCCTATCGGGCCTCGCCTGGGCCTATTTGGGCCTCGGCCTTTTTTACCGAGGTGGGCCGTTTAGGAGGCCCGCCTCCGAAAATGGAGGCATTTTTTGAGGGGGTCACTTATAAGGCCCGCCTCCATTAATAGATTTGAGGAGGCGGTTATTTTTTGACCGCCTCCGTAAATCGATTTTGTGATGTGGTTAATTGTGACCGCCCCGATTAATAAAAATAACCACCTCCGTTAATCCTAGGCATTAACCGAGGCGGTTGGATTTTGTAAACTCCTTGGTTAATAAAAGGTCACTGCCTCGCAAAATCATTTGTGTAGTAGTGAATGAAGGTGGTTCCAATCAGCGGATCTAGGCCATAGTGGTACGGTGAAAGGATGGCAAGGACGGCACGAAGTGGTATGCGCTCTGTTGTTGTGACCCACACTAGAATGACGATGAGAGCGGCATATCAATGGGACATGCTACCTAAACAAGGGTGTTGTCTCAGCGGAGAGAGATCGATCTCCCGAGGGCACATATATAGTGCGAAAGCAATGTCTTTTGCCCTAGATTAGAAACTTGAACTTGTAATACCATGTAGAAGATTACAATTGGGTGAAAATAGGTTTTTTGTATTAAACCTCTCATATGCTATATATAGAGTTTACATGACTTAGGGTCAAGCCAGTATACGAGATCATAATACCAACTACCTCTAGCCTAGTCGTCAACTGACTCTACCTTAGTCAACGAATAACTCTATGCTAGTTGTGATACACTCTAACATTATGCTTTGCCATAACAGATGATAACGAATTACTATTGTTCTTATGGAATGAAAATGTTAATGATTCAAACTGCTAAGTGTATATTTGGTAGTTTAGAATTATATATAATCCAATATCGCCATATGTGTTAGAGATTCGACTTGCCTCATAGGTCTCTGTACTATATATATTCCGCCCAAGAGGCTCAATACAATCTATTCCACACATTATTCTGAATCATCGATGCTTTCATGGTATCACGAGTTTAGAGTTTTGATCCTAAGTCAATGATTCCATGCCTACCCATGCTGCTCCTTGGGCGATCAATCTACCCTGGGGGCCATGCCTTCATATGAAGGTTTTGGTTGTAGATTTAGTTGACCTGTCGACCTAGCATCGTCTTGCAGTAGATCATGAGCAGAGCACTACTATGGGTGTCACCGAGTTGTTGGGACTTCCAACCATGCTAACCGGCCTTCACTCCCATTAGACCACTCATCATGGGTGTTGAAATATAAAGTGAATTTCCCACCTTTCATGTCAGTTTAAGCTTTCACGTTGAACTAATGATGCATGCAACTCAATATGGTGTTAGAGCCAAATGTTTCAAGTTCTAATCCTAGTGGGCGCAATTACTAATTGTTGTCGACTCCTATTTCTACGTTTGAGGCCTAAGAGAGCCTGTGTGAGGTGTTGTTGAAATATAAAGTGAATTACCCACCTTTCGCATCAGCTTAAGCTTCTGGGTTGACCTAGTTAGTTCATGCAACTCAATAGTGTTGAGCACCGCACTACCACACAAACTTTTATAGAGGCGGTCAAAATCTATGTCTAGAGAAACTCCAAGAGTCTTTTTATATCCTTCTGTACTGATAGTAATAGAAATTATGGTGAAAAAAAGCCCACCAATAGTTTCTTCAATTAGATCTCAAATATTGTCATCTTCTATTTCTGGTTTCTCGCTAGCAAAAAAAAATAGAGAGTGGGGATGGCTCTCCAGACTACACACAAGATACATAGAAGCCGTTGAAGGTGAAAAGATACAGATAGAGATTTTTATTCAAAAAGCTCTCCAAATAAGAATTAGAGGGTTAGTTTAAGAAAGGCTATTAGAGATGCTCTCATGGATAGTTGTGCAACTGTACTATAAATTCGATTTTAAGGGACGGTTTTACTAAGCCAACCGCCCCTAGAAATAATTTTCTAAAATAGAAACAATATTAAACTATTAAAAAATTTAGAAAGAAAGTAATTTTGTCATTACTAAATCTCAACCCATGTTTTGGCAAATAATACCACTGTATTGACATCCACATAGTCTTATGGCATGATGAGTCTGTATGTGTATCTCTTTCTCTTCTGCTGTAGTAGTAGCAACACTCAATAGCGAAACTATGTCAAAAGCTTGGCACTGATGTCGGTCTTTTGATCTCCTTTGGGGAAAATAATGTTAAAATCTTTTTTTGAGGAATAATAATGTTAAAATCTTGAGCCTGGTTATTAGAAAGAAAAGAAAAACTAGACCTTGATGTAGTCGGCACAAAGGAACAAATGTGTGCTAGTCTATGATTGAAAAACCGTATCCAAGTCCACATTTGTTGCTCAGTTTTTCTGAGGCTCATCGTTTACTCCAATTAGGAATTAAATGCCGTTGGAAAACTAAGCAATACGCTGTGGCATATGAATTGTTGATACGTCGCCAACAACGTGGACTGGCAGAGCATTTTTTCTACAAACAGCACGGGTAAATTTGAGCCTACCTGAAACATACTAATGCTTAGGAGCATGACGAATTTGTGCTGAGGCGAGCGTGCTTCCGTCAGCATGATGGAAGCTTTAGAATTTGCGTCTCCAAGTAAGCTAACTTATTGCACCTCATGGCTTGTATTTTAGTGGTGCTGTGTTTTCTTTTATTTCTTAGTTTTGTCATTGTTGTGCTAATCCATGGTTAGCCACACTTTTAATCAAAGAGTTCAGGCCCGCGCACAATTAGCTCGCCATAGTTTCTCACTTTCTCTCAAAAATATATCATGGATATCTAGTATGTATGCAGAGAGTGCTGATTTGGATGCAAGTACTCGTAATTCATTTCATATTTATTTGAACCTGAGAAGATGGAAAAAAAAGTCCTGTTTCTGAACATGCATGTGAGGACCAGACCATATGTCTGCAGAAACTAATTCTGAATTTATAATCCCTGCTTATTCAAACCAGCTCAAGATCTCTTTTGTTTTCAGATTCCAAGGGATTGTTGTTTATGGCAGAGCACAGTAAAAGCAGAAAAGGTCATGGGAGAAGCAAAAGCGACTGCTCACTGACTAGACTAGCTAGCTTGTTTCCGGAGCAGGCAGTACCTGGTGAGAACAAGCGACAATTCACTACGATGAAGTTAACCAATCCTTGCCCCAGGTTAATTTCATGACTACGACTGCAGAATCTAACCATGATCTTTCCAAATCACTAGTACATGCATCTTGTACTAGTAAGTAGTAACAGACGAGTAGAGGACCGATGCAACCTAGGCTTTGTTTAGATTGCCTCAAAGTTTTAAGTTTTTTCACTCTCTTTCCATTACATCAATTTTTGGACGCATGCATGGAGCATTAAATGTAGGTAAAAAAAATAACTAATTGCACAGCTTTGTTGTAAATCACGAGATGAATTTTTTGAGCCTAGTTAGTCCATGATCAGACAAAGTTTGTCAAATACAAACGAAACGTGATATAGTGTCCAGATTGTAAAAAATTGCAACCTAAACAGGCCCTATAAGCGCGTGGTAGCTGCAAAGTCTGAATCCTTGCCTGTTTTCATGTGCTCTGCACCTGCCTACGCACGCAGGCAGGCAGCCACAGCAGATTATATTACTGCACAAGTTGGTCCATTAATTATGTTGCCATGACATTTCCATCCCCTTATATAAGTAGAGCGGATTAGGAGTAACCTTATCGCCATAGCCAGCCACATGACTAGCTTCTTCTTCCTTGCTTCATTCCTTCTCTGACAGCTGCCTGAAACTTAGAACCTGCAGCTAAGCTAAGCTTCAGTAGCTTAGTTTCTTCCCACATCACCAGCTCTTCAGACACAAGAGAGATGAAGCACCAACAGTATAATAGCAGATGTCTTGCTCAATCTTCAGCTTCTGATCACCGGTCGGCGATGAAGGAGATCGCCAGGGGCCAGTCTCTGGTGACGCAGCTGCGAGCAATCGTGCTACCAGCGCTGCAGGCCGACGAACGCTCTGAGCTTGTCGCCCACATGTTCCAGAACATACTGGATTGCTCCAGCAAGGCCATGGCCGAGCTGCAGATGCATCAGGCTCGAAGTACTCGACGACCTGATGATGATGATGTGCTGGTGGATGACATGAAGAGAATGAAGAAGATTTCCTCTGTCGACTGCAAGAACGAGGAGGGTGTTACTACTGCTAAATCCCGTCATCAGCACAAGAGAAGGTACCATGTGAGCTAATGAGTTCATTTGAAATGCTTCTTGAGGTTGCATATGATTATTAATCCAGAAATAAAATTTTAAGCAGGAGATTTGATGACTCTGTGTCACTTGAAACACCTGTGCCGCTCTACGATGGCCGGCAATGGAAGAAATATGGGCAGAAGCACATCAACAACACCAAACACTCAAGGTGAATTTATCCTTCTTAATTCGAAAGATGCGTTTCCTGGTTATTCTTTCATTTCCTTTTTTAAAAACTCCCTTGTATTACCAAGCAATCATGCCACATGTTGTTCCAATGATGTTAAGCAAGCTAGGTGGTCGAAGTTTAGTTTGGGATGATAAAGGAAGGACACTGCCAGTTTTTTTTTTTTTTTGTACTGAACTCTAGACCCGGCTTAGGTTGATCATGGATTTGCCCATGACTTTACGGTATTAATTAATTAGTATGCACACAAAGTTAGATAGTGATGCAAATTTGCAATAAGCTGTATTTGTCACTAATTGAGTTGCATATGCAGGAGCTACTACAGATGCACCTACAGACAGGAACAAGGCTGCCAAGCAACGAAGACGGTGCAGCAACAAGATGACAGCAGTGGTGCTGATCATACCCTGATGTACACGGTCGTCTACTATGGCCAGCATACTTGTAAGGATAATGATGGTGCTAATGCAAGCCCTGATGACTCTGAAACACACACCACCAGAAGCAACAGCGACAGCCAATCCAGCATATCGAGCACCTGTACAGATCCTTGTGACAATCAGAATCAGACATCCCTACATGACAATAAACCGATCGACGACAAATCTGAAAAGTTGGTCACAAAGGACATGTATGAACCATTCGACATGACTGCGTTTGCACCGTTCGATTTGGATGGTTGGGAGTTGGATGCACTCCTGAGATTTGGAGCTTGATAACTCGGATACCAACGAAAAGCTAGCGACGATTAGTTGATAATTTGGTATGTTTTGAGGAGAGGTAGTAATAAGGCATATCTCATCAGAAGCTTGTACTTAGTTGTCTAGGGTTGAAAATATCATTTGCGCAATGTACAATACTAAGTATACCGTCAATTTTGTGTCCTTCTGTATCAAAAAGTTACAAATGAAAAGAAAAAAATAAAGAGAGCGAAAGGGAAAGAACAATCTATTGTATGTATAACCTTCAAGGCTTCAAGGATGGCATTGGTGCAATTTTAATTTTAATTTGTAGTAACTCGCTAACAAGTAGAAACAGAAAACCGAGCCATTTACTGACAAAAAAAAACAGTTTTCATGACAAACCCTCAATACATTTGGGCGCGATTTTGATATCATGACATGGTGACTTACCATGTGGATCCGGATGGAATTAATCAATCTGCCTTTCTCAATGATACTGTAAATGTAAGACAAAAAAAACAGATATGCCTTGACATTTCTAAGCAAAACTAGGAATCATCAGCTATCAATCAGAGTGCATGGGATCCTCACCTTCTTGCTCATCATTGTGTATTTGTGTTCTGGATTTCAAATATTATATTAGTGCTACCTCATTCTGGAAAAATATTTCAGAAGTATATTGCATATCAATGCAACAGCTAGTTGTCAAGCAAATTACATATGGTAGACTTACTATTATGTGATTAAAAAATCGTAGGCGCGCAGTCTGACCCATGGCCGCCACAAGATTGGCGTATATGCTCTTAGTTTTTTCCATTAGCAATTGCCACTTGGTAATTAATATAGTGAGATAGATTAAGAAATGATGTTGAATCCAAGTATTAGTATCAAAAAAGGTCGTCGTACCATACCCATTTATATATCTACCCTGGTACCACTCCCGTATGATGCAAAAGAATATATATTTGTTTACCAGACAAGTTGGTACATGTTGGTATGTATCTAGGACAGCATATATCTGTCAAGTTATATCAGATTTGATGTGTAAATATGAAAACAACCTGACTTCAGTGTTGATAACGAGTAGAGGTGAGAGGCCGCGTGCTTACCATTGGAAAAGCATGTTCCGTTTCACCAAACACCTGATGGGATCCAAGCAAAGCGATGGAATATAGCATTATATTACTTATGCCAACTTTTTCTATGGCACTTAATTACATCAACTTGTGGATGCACTCATTAGATTAATTTGGAGCCTGGTAACAATTCATATATGGATGAATGAGTGGCAGTTAAAGAGGTGGCGAAAGATCGCAAAGAGGGGTTCAACTCACTAGCAATATTAGTGGCATGGGAGATTAGGAAGCACATGAACTACTGCCTTTTTAATGACTCTAATCCAAACATCAAAGTGGTGTTGCGGGCTCTCACTTATGAGTGCATTCTGTGGTGCTTGGCACGAGCAAAGGGCCTCCAGGAGCTTCTTGCGAGGTCGTTTGGGAGGGTTTCAGGACCCTAGTTTGGTTGTTTTGATCGCTTAGTTTTTATTTTGTAAGTTTAGTGTGATCTAGCCTTTTAGAGAGTTGTGGGTGTACATTGGCGGCGTTTGTGAGTGTCGTTGGGGATTTCTTTCCCTATTCTTTAAACATTTCTTCTTAATGAAATGATACGTAGCTCTACTGCATGTTTGAGGAATAAAAGATATATATCAATGAATGAGAAAGTTATCAGTCTGAATGATGTGAATCAAATCTTAGGAACAGTGTGGGATGGCAGAGACAAAAATAATAAGAGGAAGAGGATGAGAAATCATGGTGAAAAAATGACAGTATATTGGTGGACTATATTTTTCTCAAACACGTAGGAGAGCTGCACATCTTCTTTATATTAAAGAGAGAAAGGCCTTATAATTAAGGCAACCTTCTCACCTCTACTAGTATGACAAGGTATTTGTGTGAATATAGGAGGAGAGGAAGTTGCCGCACTTGTTGGAATCTACTACTAGTCCAAAGTCATTGGGTTCTCACAATGCAATATCGTCCTTGTATGTGATTGTCGCGTTCTAAAATTGGAACATAAGCATGACCTTAATATGGAAAAACATATGTTAGTTCAGAGTCATGCATTGCAACAGCAAGCGATTACAAGTAATCAACTATTACTATATAATGGCAAGTAGGTGTTGATCATTGAGTATTACTAATAAACTGGGTCAGTTGACCCCCAGCCGCCACAAATTTGTCGTATATGCTCTGGACCACCACGTGCGCACCCAGATCAGCTGGATAAAATTGATGTTGCAACTTGCAACCAGTAATGAACAAAAGGGATATGTATATATATGTTAATGTATGTATGGAGTGGTAGCATAGTTTAGTGCACAAGTTGGCCTCTCCACAGGGAGTAGAATATATACAGTAGTTACTTGCATCAGATTTGATAACACTATATATACACAATAACCAGTAGTAAGAATTAATAGTATGTATGCGTCACTTCACCAAATACCTGACGGTATCCAAGCAATACAATGACTTCGGTAGCTATATGTATGTCTATCAAGCAAATGGGCAGTAGTTAATTGACTAAGGTATATGCTTTGTTATGTATTCTATCAGGTTCTAACATGTGGAGAACAAGGAGCATTTCATTTGTAATTACATTACACACCCAATGCAAGGCTAAGAGGCTGATGAGTACGTCGTTGAGACGTACCATTGAAGGGAAGGGCGTGATGGGCATCATCCTTGTCCAAAATACAATTAGGCTAACCAACAAATAAATAACCATGCACACTACAGCACATATTGTAGTGTTTTCTTTGAGCAAAGGTAATACAGCGATATTATTACTAGTCTATATATAAGTTGTGCAAAATTTACAAGCTGTTGACAACCAAAACTGGCAGAGACACTTGGAATAATATCCAGGCCCAAGGCTGAAATTTAGTTCTCACTAAGAGGTAGCTGAAACATCAACTCTGGTCTAAAGGTGAAACTTCCAGCCAGTCGTCACTATGTAAAAAGCGATTTTTAGCAATCGGGACGAATTTTTTGTAGGGGCGGCTAGTGATGGAGCCGCCCTTACAGTGATATGCTCGGAAGCTCAGACACCACCTGCCCTACAAATGGGTCTGATTTGTAGGGGTGGCTCACTCACCAGCCGCCCCCGGCGTTGCTATTTGTAGGGACGGCTAGTAATTGAGCCGCCCCTACAAATGCCTCCGTATAAATACCTTCGATTTGTAGGGGCGGCTCAATCACCAGCCGCCCCTACAAATGACCCACATATAAAACAACTGCAACACCTTCTTCCTCCTCGGATCATTCACTCCAACCCGTGAAAGAAAGGTGGTGAGGCCTTGGGCACCTCCCAAAAATTGCTCTACTAAGTGGGGAAGGTTTTGGTCTCAAATCCTTTGGTGGAGAGGTTGTAGAAAGTAAGAAAATGTTATTCCACACTTTTTTGAAGTTTTAATAGTTGCTTAGTGAGTAATTAAAGTTTTGTTTTTCTGTCTCTTCTATGGTGTTTGAGCTACTTATAAAGCAAATTATACCCAAGTTTTAAATGTACTAGGGTAAATTAGGGAGGAGAACAAGATCATACTCTTATTTGGTCCATGTTTCTTGATTTTAGTGAACAATTAGTTAGTTTTATGCATGTTTCATGTGCATGTAGATCTAGATCTAGGGTTTGGTTTTTTTATTAATTTCATTTTTGTAAATTTATGTTTGATAAAATTGGACTAGGGTTTGTAAGAAAGATATTGGGTAAAGTATAATTGTTGCTAATTGTTGTCTTTAAAATTGTTTATTATAATCAATGAATATGTATTTTAATTATTTATGGATAAATAGGCCATTAATTAATTTTCCTCTACCATGGTGTGTTTATATGCTTCATGTAATTATATTAGATTTATATTCATATGTATCTGAAGTATATACAATTATTCTCAAGTAATTATTAATTTGATTCATTTTTATATATATCTGAATAAGTAGTCCTTTAATGTTTGTTTTATTGTTGTTGTAAAAGATGGAGTACAGAAACTCTTGGATGTATGGTTCGTTAAGGTTCAAGGCAGATTTTCGTGAAGAGGTGGATACATTTATTGAAGCCGCAAAGAAGCATGCAACGACATTGAAAGAGAATAAGGATACAATTATTTGTTCCTGTAAAGATTGCAAGAACCGTATGGCATAGACAGATGTGACTATCATCAGATCACATTTGATTATGTGAGGATTTATTGAGGACTACACAGTGTAGATTCATCACAGTGAAACGGTTATTGTTAACAACGAGGATGAGGAGGAATACGACGATGAAACCATAGAATCCATGTCCCAATATTTAGCAGAGCTTGATGCACGAATGGATTTTATGTTTGGCAATGAACAAGGTGGTGATGCTGGTGGTTGGGATGGTAACAACGAAGGTGGTGCCAATAATGGTGGTGGAGCACGTGTCGGGGATGAAGATGATTTGGAGGACATGATTCGAGTCCTTGGACCAGAGATTTTACTAAATAGCCTGAAAGGTCTAGAAAATTTGGAAAGTGTGATAAAAGCATCGAAGGAGACTGTGTATGGTGTTGAAAAGGGCAGTCCGACACATTGGACATTGCTACATTTTATGCTTAAGCTATTTATCCTGAAGGCTAAGTACGGCTAGTCAGACTGTAGTTTCAATGATCTATTGCATCTCCTGTCATGGGTGCCGCCACAACCAAACTCAGTTCCCACCAATACATACCAAGCGAAGAAGGTCATAAGTCCATTGACAATGGGGGTTGAAAAAATCCATGCATGCCCCAACCACTGTATATTTTTTTGTGGCGAAACGTTCAAGTCACTGGATAAATGTCCCCGGTGTGGGGCTAGCCGGTATAAGAATAATGACCTTTACGGTGGGGACGAAGTCTCCACGGGGAAAAAGAGGAATAAGAAGGGTACAAAAAAGGTGCTACAAGAATCTCAGCCCCCAGAGGACACTCCATTAGGCAACGATGCAAAGCAGAGAAGAATTCC